AGTGCTGGGATTACAGGCATGCGCCACCACGCCAGGCACAAGAGAAGCAATAATCTGTTTTCTCTCCAGGTAGGGAGGGACATAAAGGCACAGACAGACACCCTTTCTATCTGCCCCTGTCTCTGTGGCATTCTCTCCCAGCTCTTCTTCAAGCTCATCAGAACACACACTGCCCTGGTCCTGTGGCTTACCATACAAGCCCATGTTCTTGGCGTATGACTGGCACAGGCACACATTGATACCCTGTTCAATGAAGTGGCGCACGGCCCAGGCATCCCTGTCACCATCACCGCTGGCGAAGCCTTGGTAGGCCATGTCAAAGAACGCAAAGAGATTCTTTTTCTGGGAGGGAACAAGAAGACCAAAGCTTTAGGCGGCCATCTGCAGATACCATGGGTGGTTACTTGTATTTTCTGAGGTCATGTCTGCCTCAGCCAGAATTAAGATGGCAACTTGTAACTTGTCTTTTTTTTTTTTTTTTTTAAACTTTTGGTTCCTCACAAAAGAGAGTCTTAATCTCATTGTGCCCAGAATTCTGCTTAAATAGGGGTCTGGGTCATTATTATTGTTTAGTCAATACAAGACCAGCACTTGTCTTTTCTGGAGCTAATACAACCCAGGCAGGCTCTTTCTAACCCAAGAGCTCCTGAGATGGCCTGACTAGAACCACCTCATCTGGAAAGTGCTCTCTGCATGCCGTTTCTGTCTCATTCTTTCTGCTGCTTAGATTTGACAGAAGGTAGTACAAACAGAGACTTAAGATGACAGGGATATTTTCCCCTCTAGAATTCTGACACGTCTTCCATGACAGCCAGTTACACTCTGATAATGGCAGGACTAAGGAGTGTGGCAGGGACAGGACGGAACACAAAAGGGTATGAAAGAATGTAACGAACACTGACCAAGGCAAATGCAGGTGCTACCAGCAGACCCACAGCCAGCGCAGCTGCTGTGCAGGGTGGACAATGGCAGGCTTTATGCAGAATGAGGAACAAGAATTATTTCAAACTGCTCAGATAGCAACAATTATAGAACTGTTAATTAAGCAAAGCAGGAGCTCTTTCCTGGTAGTTTATCCACATGTGAAAATCTTGTGTAGGGTCAAGGCTAATTTTCACTGCTAAGACTGCCAAGTTAAGCATCCAAGGCTAGTGATTAAATCCACAACTTTAATCAGACACACAAACTTCTATTACAAGGAAACCATACAAGATAGAGGGGGTAAGAGGGAAATAAAAAGATGTATTATGTACATGTGTCAACTCCCCATGGTAAGTGTACTGAAAACAGGCACCGAAGTAAATTTAAATGAATAAGATACACCTAGAACGGATCCCCCTCAGCTCATCCTCCTCACCTTCACTATTGATGCGATTTCCTTCCACTGCTCTTGGCGAGGGTCCACTCCCGTGGGATTGTGGGCGCAGGCATGCAGGAGAATAACGCTTTGCTCTGGTATTTTCTAAAGAGAAAAACAACCAAAAGACAGCTGCTTTGCAGCTTAAAAGGAGATAGTTCCCAGAGGTTCACTAGCATCTGATAGGTAAGAAAGAGAATCTGAGGTCTGGGGATTTGCTCATTCCCAGTATTTTAAGCCAGATATTAAAACCTACATGGAAGACATCAAATGTCCTCAAGGAAGTTTATTCCTTTTCTTTTGTCCCTCTCACCCTGCAAGTCACACTTACTGAAATGTCCTCTGTGGCACCAGTGAAGTCAAAACCGCAAGTCTTGGGGTCATAGTAACGATAACCTTGTAGCTGCATGCCGGCGTCCCTGAAGATAGGTGTGTGATTTCCCCAGGACGGTTTGGGCAGGTAGACATCTCGGCTGAACTTAAAAAATCTTTGCTAAAAGATGGGATGAAAGAGAATGGAAAAATGAAAAAAAGAAAAGCAAAACACATTGGTATATTTTTCTCTACTGAGTCCCAGCCCCTCTACGTTTCACAAACAGTATTGACTCAGCCTGGTTAATCTGGGCTCTGACAGTTACTCTTGTGTAGCTAAGGGCCTTTCTGGGCCTTCTTTTGTAAAATGCTATTAACTAGACAGGGTGGTGGTACGTGCCTAAAATACTACCACTCTGCAGGGCTGAGGCAGGAGGGTTATAAATTCGAGCCTAGCCTGGGCAACCTATCAAGACCCTGTCTCCAAATAAAAAATAAAAAAGGGCTGAGGATATAGCTTAGTGTGAAAGCCTTGGGTTCAATCACATCCACACACCCACATACCTACACACCCACACAAATCCACAGAGAGAGAGAGAGAGAGAGAGAAAGAGGGAGGGAAGGTTAATTGAACTTCTCTCATAGGGATTAAATGAATTAAAATATAAAAGATATAAAAGCTCCCTAGTAACAGTATATCATCAATAAACTGAATTTATTATTGTTGTAACTTCCTTATATTTTCTCCAGGACACTGTCTTTTCTTAATCCAAGAACAGAAAATCTACCAACTGTGGAAAAAGAAAATCTACTTCTGTGTCAGTGTCACACACACACAACAGGACGCCCTATCAGCCTCCACTTAGTGTTTTCCTGGAACCGTTTCCACACTCACCAGAAAGCTGGCTCCGATCCTTAAGGCCCCGGTCCCAGAAATGGTCTGCACAGTGACAAACTGCAGGAGAGACACCATGGTCAGTGATGTGGCCAGCCCACAGAGGTCCTGCTCTGTCCACTCAGTACCCTTAACACTTCAATTCCTTATGGCCTGCCAGTATCACCCATGGAACACTTGTAGAACACAAAAACTCTACTCCAATATGCGAAAGCAGTGATTTGCACAAAATAATGAAAAGACATTAAGAAGTCATTACATCAAAATGTTACTCTAGAATTACATAAAATGAGATGATCCTCTGAACATCAAAGTTCCATCCAAGTCAACAAGTACCTTAGGATAATGTGAGTACGTTTTATTTCTTGTGGCGCTCTGACATTTATTCTCGTGGAGTATCTAGGGACCTTTCCGGTTGTCACTTGTAAAGTGGTGGTAACCACACAGGGTGCTGGCACATGCATCCCAGAGCTAATAAGCATGAGTTCTACCACTGAGCTCTACCCCCACCTATGTACATTTTAAAGGTCACCTAAGAGGTCTTCTATGAGTTTTTATAACCTGGAAGTAAAAATCTAACTGCAGATCTGGAAATAATAATGATTCCCTAAGGCACAGCAATTCATAAAGGACAAGACAGGGCATTCTAACATTTAGGTTGTAATTGCTCAGACAGGTGCATATTAAGTAAAATCCCACTGTGCATGAAAAATACAGGTTTAGTGAGGGGTTAACAGGTGGTTCATTGTGTGGATAGTAACTACACTGCATTCTATCCACGACTGAATCACTGGGCTTGAGGTTATATATTGCTCTGTGAGTTAACAAACTAACTGTGTGGACTTAGACCATTCTTATGAACAAAATTTATTCTGGTTTTCAGAAGGGGAGGAGGAGAAAGACTGCTGGCTTAATTGGCCCTTTTTCGTGTTTTCAGTGCTGAAGGTTGAATCCAGAGCCTTGCACATGCTAGGCAAGTGCTCAACCACTGAGCCATAACATACAGCTCATATGCTTTTTCCTCCAAGGCTTAAGAGAAAAATAAATTCACAAATTATTCATTAGAAAACACGTATTTCCGCCCAGAGAAGGTAAATCGTGACGCACATGAGCTCACACATTGGGAGCATGGTCTTTTCTCTTTCAATGCTCAAACTGGCTGTGACAGGGTAGCAGAGAGCCAGACAGGTTCTGCCCACTCGGCCACCTGAGGACAGTTTCCTGCTTGCTTCTCCCACCCAGGCCAGAAGCTTAGTCCATGAGTGTGTGGACTACAGTTACAGGCCTAAAACTAGGCACAGCCAAGTGTTTCTACAACACAGCAGTGCACAATGAACAGAACACACGGACCCTGACAGCAGAAGGAAAGCCAGGCCTATCTATCAGTCAAATCCCTATTATCTTTTCAGGATTACTCATACATTTTTAGAATTGCATTATGTATAATAATCTTTTAAATTATTGCCAATTTACTATCTAAAGAAGAATTAGCAAGTGTGGCCACCTCAGTTGTTACACACATATGAACTGAGTTATACTTTCCTGTTTTTAAAAGTTATTTAAATTACTTCACGGTTGTTTAAATTGTTACACATAGCAACAGACCCTTGTATGATGCCAGTCTGCTCAGCTTACCCGGCCGCTTTTCAACACCTCGCTGCCCTCACCCAGGGCTAGCTCTGCAGACGCCTTGCAAAACTCAGCCAGGCCTCCAATCGGGAGGTATTCCTTGTCCACATTTTTTGCAGCAATCTGGGCCTCTGCCTAGACATGAGAAAAATGCATTTATTTAGTTTTTTCCCTTACCTGGAACTAATATAATTACTAATTAATGTTTTATAAATAAAATATATAGGCTTTTTTTCCTTCTTTTTGTCTTTCTGAGATAGGGTCTCGCTGTGCTGTTCAGGCTGGCCTTGAACTCACTTTGTAGCCCAGGCTCGCCTCGAATTTGCAATGATCCTCCTGCCTCAGCCTCCCCAGTGCTGGGATAACAGGCATGTGCCACCGCATCCAGCCTTTTCTTTTTCCTTTTTTTTTTGAGATGGGGTCTTACTATGTTGCCCAGGCTGCCCTAGAGCTCCTGGGTTCAAGTTATCCTGCTGCCTCAGCCTCTTGAATAGCTAGGATTGTAGGCTTTTCCCACCACACCTGGTAAGTTTTTTGGTAGTGTGGAGATTGAACCCATGGGCTGCACATGCTAGGCAAGCTAGGTAAGCATTATGAACTACTTCCCAGGGCAAGCCTTATTTTTTAATTTGAAGTTGCTGTCCGAGAAGAGTAAGTGAAATTCCTGGTATTTTGTATCACAGAAGAGATATATTTCAATTATTTATATATATATTTTTTGTGTTTTTGTTTTGTTTCGTTTTTCTTCTGGTACTGGGAATTGAATTCATGACCTTGCGCTTGCCAGGCAGGCGCTGTGCTGCTGAGCTAAATCCCCAGCCCAATATATATTATTTTTTTAAAAGTAATGTTTTATGTGCTTGAGTATAGTCTCTCTTGGCTGCCATTTAACATAAGATGGCATTCCTGGAACATATAGGAATAAAGATTGAGAATAATACCCACAGTAGACAAAAGATCACAAAATTAAATACAGAAAGGTGAATTATTTAAAAGTGTATGCCAATCTAAGAACTCTGAAGAGTTAATAATAGCATGGTTGTTCCTTAGCTGTTGTGACCCTGGGCAGGCAAGTTATCTGATCTTCCCACTTTCCTCTTCTACTTGTTTCTGGTGATACTAGGAACTGAACCCACAGGCTTGGGTCACAAGCATTCTACCACTGAGCTGCATGCCCTCACTGCTTCTTTGGTTTTTTTTTTTGAGGCACGGTCTTGCTAAGCTGCCCAGGTTGGCCTGAAACTTGCAATTCTCCTGCCTTAGTTCCCCAAGTAGCTGGGGTTACAGGTGTGTGCTAACACACTCAGCTTATCTGTTAAATGCAGGAACAACTACTTTTATGTCTCACAAGAGCCCAAGTTAAGTGTTCATGAAGTATGTGCAAAAGTGCTTGGTTGTCTTTTAGCTTGCAAAAATAGTTTACATTTACTGAACACATTTTTTTCTTCTTTTTTGTGGACAATGCTGGGGATCAAATGTAGGGCTTTACACATGCTAGGCAAGCACTCTACCACTGAACTGTACCCGCAGCCCTCAATGATTTTTAAAATCAACACTGATTCTAAGGGGATTAGTTACACTATTTAAAGTTGTGATGGAAACTATATAACTAATAGCAATACTCATTAAAATAGAGCAAAAATAAGGAGAATGAAAAAAAATTATTCTATTGTTCACCAGGAAGGACAAACAGAGTATCATGTGTGTACCCGCGTTTCACTAAAGTAATCAAAAGAGAGAAATGGAAAATAAGAATAGTGACCGTCATCCACAAAGGGCTACTGCTCTTGCCAAGAGACAGCGTGTAAACTTTGGGTGCTCTGTGCTGCCTCGGAATGCAATGACACGATGGCTGCTCATCCTTGGAAAAGACTGATTCCAGTCTCACAGTTCCACAGCCAAAGGTGTTATGGCCCAGAAAACTCAAGCGAGGCTGCCTAAACCAGAACCCCGGGCTGAGGAGTCCCAGATCCACACCCGTCTGGCCAATCCAGGAGCTCCGTTCAGCTGACTCATGCCAGGCCAGCGCGAGAAGGATGCGAGCTCACCTTCCTCACACTAGGGAGCACATAGGGCTTTCCGTTGTCATCGCGGTAGGCACCAACACCCAGGTTCATCTTTTTGCTGTTGGTGTCTCTCTTGTAGGCTTCGGTGACTCCCAGGATGGGATCTGGGGGTCCCATTTCCACATGGGTCCACCAGGAGCTGAAATGAGAAACATCTTACCTCAGTCATATGTGCCAGACCCCATGGCCAGAGGTGTTTCTATCTGCCCAAGGTTCAGTTAGACAAATGCTTGTGTGTTGCATACTGGGTATAGAAATAGGCACCACTGATCCAGTGACACAAGACTTTGGAGCACCTTGCGGAGGAGCAGAGATGAGTTAATTTCCACACAGATGCCATGGAGATGCAGAGGGGCACCCAAACTGTTCTGGGGAGGACAGGCTGTTCGCACAGGCTTTTGTGTCGTTGTTTTGAGATAGGTCTAGCTATGTAGATCAGGCCAGCCTCAAACTCACTATGTAGCCCAGACTGGCTTTGAACTTTTGGTCCTCCTGTCTCAGTTTCCAGAATGCTGGTTTCCTGGGGAGGCTTTTAAAGTAGTCTACACTTGACCTGAATTCCCACATGAAGAATACTTCAAGGGACTTCTGGGAAGATGGCGGGGTGGTAAGCAGCCCAGAAAGAGCCTCTGCGAGAGCTGCCCCTCGATAGTGGAATATAGCAATTTGAGGAAGAGAAGGAGGGAAGTGGGTCCCCTGGACCCAGGAAGGATCTGAATCAAGAACCGAAGCCCATGGGGAGAGCAAAGAGCAAAACTTGAACGATGAAGGAGGCAGCCAGCAGAGCCTTCTCCCTGAGTATGGACTCACTGCATGGGAGAAGCAGTTTAAGCCTGTGGACACACGGTCACTGCTGGCAACACCAGAGGCCACAGAGAGACACAGCCGTGGAAGGGAACAGTGGATGTGGAGGACAGTACCAGCTGCGGGATCGGACATCCCTCCCCTTGGGAGAGGGCGAATGGCCGGGAGCCATCTTGGAGGGGGCCAGCTGAGCTCAGAACTCAGAGAATACTTCAAGGGACAGGGCAGTGAGGAGCTGAATGTGGTAAAGGATGAGGTGGGACTATGGACGTGAGGGCCATACAAGAATATTATTTGACCTCTTAAGGGGCTTGGATTTTATTGTTTCCAACTTGTTAAGAGCATACATAATTGGGAAGCTTATTACACACTTGGGTTTCAGGGACCCACCTTTGATGCAGTGACACATGAAGAATCATTAAAGCTTTTCTTTTGGTGGGGGGAACGTGATCAGGTGAGGGATGATGACATGAATGAAACTGCACTCTTTAGGGCCCCCCTGTCACAGTGTGAGGTGCTGAATGCAGAGTGCTAAGGGTGTGTATTCAGAGGGTTGCTGAAGAAGGTGGTCTGTTACTCAACAAAACAAAGAGACAAGGACATGAACAAGGCAGGGGCGACTGGGGTAGAGAGGGAGGGGGAGAGTTACTAGGATTTTAGGAATTCAAAACTGACAGGAAGAACTGGTTCTAACATCTTGTTTTCATTATTACTCAATGGGTTAAAATGTTTGAAAATGTTCATGATTTTACCTATAAGAAAACAAAATACTATCCTATAACAGTGGATTTTTTTTTTTTTTTAAAGACAAGATCTGGCTATGAGTTCCAGGCTGGCTTGAACTTACTTGCTATGTAGCTCAGGCTGGCCTTGAACACACAACTATCTTCCTGCCTCAGCCTCCTGAGTGCTGGGATTTCTGGCATGCACTGTCATGCCCAGCATCCTATAACATCTTGGAGTCTGTCCAGCAATGCCCAGCTAGAGTTACATGTCTGGGCATGCTGAGAAAGTGTTCCTCATCTTTCCTTGGCTCCTAGGGTGAATCCTAGCTTGCAAAAAGAAATTTATTGGTGGTGCTGGGAATTGAACCCAGACTGTCACCCATGCTGGTCAGGTGCTTTGCCACTGAGCAACACCTCAGCCGGCCATGGAACTTCTTTCGTTTGTGTTTTGAGACAAGGTCTCTCTATGTAGTTGAGGTGGGCCTCAAACTCACAGTTATCCTTTGCCTTAGCCTCCCAAGTGCTGGGATTACAGGCATGCACCACCTGGCTCTGCCACTGAACTTTAAGTGACTTTCTTGGTTGTTCATAACCCTGAACTGATTTGAGGTTTTGTTTTTGGTTCACTTTTAGCCAGTAAGCTAGTCCCCATGGCTGGCATCAATGAGTTTAGTTTTTAATTTATTTATTTTGTGGTACTGGGGAGTCAACCCTGGGAGTACTGAGCTGCATTCCTCAACCCTTTTTGAGGCAGAGTCTTGCTAAGTTGTTCAGGGTGACCTTAAATTTGTGATCCTCTTGCCTCAAATTCCCGAGCAGCTGGGATTACTGATGTGCACTACTGTGCTCCCGAGTTTGGCTTTATGCTTTAACTATTTAGTGATTTCTGTAGGATGGTAGAGCTCTACTCTCTTCTGGGTGAGCGATGACAGAATTTGGCTTATTAAATGTTCTTATTTGCTTATCTTTTTTTGGTGCTTAAATCAGTTGAGATTTTTGTAGCTCTGAAAAAAATCAAACTAATTTTTTTTGTTTTGCTTACTCTGGACCTATGGTCGAAGGTGTGACTCTGGATTTACAACCTCACTATGTGCCAGTAATTTGGAAACACTTTCAAAGATCCTCTGAGTGCCTGAATGTGAAACCTTTTCTATCTCTGAAGGGCACTGATAAATTTGATAATAAAAAATCTCAAATAAAAGGTTTATGGGTTTGTGTTATAAACATTAAGTACTTACAGCAATGGAGCATTCTTAAGTTTCCCAGGAAATGGAAAACCAAATTTCTAGCACTTTCAATGGGCACTCTTAAAAATTTTTTTGGCTATTTTATCTGTCAACCGGTTTAGGAAAAATAAACCTACCTAGAGTAAAACGTATGCTACATTATACCTAACACAGGTAAATAAAAGGGTAGCTGTTCTTACTGAATCAGAATTAAATGAGTCTCTTTTACCAAAGACTGACTTTATGTATGTGAACCTGAATTCCTAAAATGTTTAAGTTCATTTAAGAAAAATATATTTAAAATTATAAAAAATGTTTTAATTGAATTATTTTGATAAACTTTTAACAGGAGCTATATACTTTTACTCTTTTAATAATATATAGTATTTTTAGAACAAGTTTAGGCTTATAGGAAATGCAAGACAGAGCACAGTTTCTGTCCACCCAAGTCTCCCCCAACTAATGTTGCCGCTGTACATCAATGTGACACATTCGCTACGTTAAGGAACTCATAGTGATACACTAAGTCTACCAATTATTCAGATTTTCCTAGTTTCTTCCTGGGTCTGATTCTAGGACTCCTTCTAATACTACATGAGGCTTCTCCTGGCTGTGACAGTTTCAGACAGTACTGGTGAGGTATGTTGTCAGATGCTCCTCTACTGGAATTTGAGTTTTCTTCAGTGTTAGACTGTGGTTATGAGTTTATTTTGGAGAACAGTAATTATATTTTATAACATGTCAGGTTGAAGCAATTTTTAAGGCCTTTTGGTAACTTAATCTTAGACATATATAATGAATTAATTAGCAGATTAATTAATCATTGGCTAGCTAATTTCTAATTAAGACAATATAGAGACATACTGATTGTGAAGCATGAGTTAAAATTTACACATTTTGCTTCTCGTTTTTACCTCCCCTAGGGGGCTACAGCTTTGACTTATAACGAACATGTTCTTTGTTGCAACTTAAAAGAGAAGAAAGCATAAAAGCAATGCCTGGAAGTTGTACTCTGTGCTCAGGAGCTCTGCTCATCTGTTTACACTGACTGTGTAGGTCTGACATCACTGCCTTCCCACTCAGTTTTCTTTGTGAAACAGAAGTTACTTTGGGTCAGGTGTGGTGGCCCAGGGCTATAATTCTAGCACTCCAGGAGGCTGAAGCAAAAGGATCCCAAGTTGAAGCCTACCTTAGGCAATTTAGCAACATCCTGTCTGAAAATAAAAAGGAAAAAAAAAGGGGTGGGCGGGCTGTGGATGTAGCTTAGTGTGAAGGCTCTAGGTTCAACCCCCAGTATTGTAAAAAGAAAACTTTGAAAACTGCTACTTTTAAGGCAACACTGCTCTTTTTCCTGGAGAAACAAAGTTGGTTTTTTGCAGTACTAGGGGTTGAACCCACTGTCTTTACACTACTTTCCCACCCCTTTTCAGTTTTTGAGACTGGGTCTTGCTGTTACTAGTGAAGTTGCCCACGCTTGGGTTAGATTCTTACGATTTTTCTCCCTCAGCCTCCCAGAAAGCTGGGATTACAAGAGTGTACCACCGAGACACAGCTTGTGACTGAAACCCCTCAGAGAGCTTTTATTTATGTGGGGTATAAGTATTGATATTTATTGCCCCAGAAATTAAAACTCTGAAATTTATTGTTCATTGCTTCATTTGAAAAAGCAAAGACAGAAACATCACAAGTTAACAAAAACAACATTTTATATGTTATAGAAATGGTTTTCACCTTGCAGACTTCCTGACACAACTATTACCCTCAAGGGTCTGTTACAAATATGAAAGAACATATGAGGACAAATTTGGAGAACGAATTGCCTTTTTTGTGTGTGCTTTTATGGCTTTATTTGATAAACAGTGGTTAGGTCCCTCATCCATTTGGAAAGTGGATTCTTTTTTTGTGCTATTATGATATTTGATAACCAGTGGTTAGTTCTCTCTCCTCCATAATAACTATCTGTAGATTTCGGAAAGTGGTTAAGTTGTGACTAGTACATAGGTAACCAAAGTAAAGAGCTTGTCTGGGGAATCCTCATCTTTATTATATTTTCTGGACAACTGTGCACAGCTATGGTGTGGGACATTCCTTATGTCTTTGGCACAGACAGCTTTGTTGAGTTGTTTTTTTTTTTTTTTTAATAAATATCCCTATGTCAGAACGGATGCATTAATGTGTCAGTCTGAGAGTTTTTACCTCATGGTTAACTACTGTTTTGGAAAATGACTATTCAATCCCTTTTCTTTAGAGGAATCAAGAAAGAAGCTTTTTATATAGTGTCATATTTGTCTTTAAGATCCTCTAAATCAGTCATTAAGAACTTGCTGTGTGCTAGTATGTGCTAAGAGTTGGGAATGTAGAGTTAAAACAGAAAGCCTAGTTGG